AGGAGCAAAAAATTCCTGCTCTTGCAGGAGCGAAGCAGGGACGCTAGAAGATACTGAACGAAGAGCACCAGACAATCCGACTTGACTCTCTGGTTCAGAAGCAGAGGGAGGAAGGTTGAAAGGGGGAACTGTGTTATAAATTGCAGAGCCAGCTCCCGTAGAAACAGTACGTAGCTGAAACTAAAAAAACAAAAACCTAGTTGTAAACCAAACATTTTATCAGAACAAATGAATGTCTCACATGATTTTTTAAAATATCAAACTGTAAAATTGTGCTTGCCGAGTAATCTAAATGAACCGAATAAAAGCAATCCAGATTTATCCAAAAAAATTCGTAAAGAGACGAAAATGGACTCCAATATGATAAATAATAAGAAGAGAAAAGTCTAACAATATGATCAGTTAAGAAATGCAAAACTGTAATAAAAAAGTATTTTTAAAAAACAAGCAAAAGGTATCAAGAAAAATTAATCAAAAAATAAAAATAATAATAAAAGCTTACTTCAACTTGAGTCCCTGGTGAAGTAACTGGTAATAGAACATGAGCCTCGGCACCAGTACCACTGAAACGTACCGGACGAGATGTGCGCCTGTTGCTGACCGTCAGGCGAGCAGAAAATTGACAACAACAAAAGAAAATAGCCACGCACATGATAATAAAAAATATTAGAAATGGTACAGCAAATTCGAACGATAATTGTGTACGCCGTGTCGAGATCTTTTCATCACTTTTCTGACAATTCTGAAACATGAAAGTCAGCGCATGAATAAAGTGTTCACAACGAAGAAGAAGTGAAAAAAAGCATATATAAAACCATTTTCCTTTACTGCTAAAACCCTCCCACAAAAATGTCTAGGTGAATGCAGTTTAGCAGGAAACGAACTTTCCGCTGAATGTCATTCATGTTACTACAGTTATGTATTTCACTGCAAAGTTTGCTCCGCCAAACACAATAAAATTTGTCTGTCGCACGACTTTTACAGTCATACTCATTCAGCGGGTCTGAACATCTACAATGAGATTCGTCTGAGTCATCAGGACAGTCGCTTTTACCTAAAAAAATTAGAAGAAATATTCTCTTAAACCAATTAAAAAAAATCATGAGTTATAAAGTAAAATTAAAAAATTATTAAAAAACCTTACCGTCACAAAATTGATGCTTCTGAACAAACTTTTCACCGCTCAGGCAAGGCCATGCAGATTTTTTGGAGGCAATAATTTGGCACATCTTTGGATGTTCGTCGCTATAATCTTCGCAATTAGGAGTTCCGTCACAAAGTGATGAGTAATGAACACAGTGTTGGCCATCTTCACAACTAAACTGCCAACGCTCACAAACGACTGTTTTTGAACAACTGCTTCCACTGAAAAAAAGTAGTAAATTCAGTACAAAATTGTGAATTATGAGCAAAAACAAAAAAAAAGATAAAATACTGTTCAGTTTTTCTGGATTACTGCGGACGTCTATAAATATACATCCCATTTTAAAATGTCGGTTAAAAAATTTTTCAGTAGTGAAGTGGAGAGAGAAAACGCTAGTACAGGAAATTAAGTAGTGCAAAAATAAAGGCAGTTATTAAAAGGAAAGAAAAAATAACCGTTTGTAGTGCTCAAGAGGACACAAACATTCAAATCTATTCTCCACAGCCTCACCACGGTGAACAATACATAAGTGAGAGCACGGAGAGGACTCGCAGGTATAAGATGATTTCACGAATCCATCAGCTTCAAAAACATCACTCGCCGCTAGCATGACAGGAAGAGAAACTTCTACTTCAGAAAAAATATGTTTCTCAACTAAAGGATATTCTGAAAGGCTAAAACAGTGGATTGTATTAAGCTCTTCCTACTGCATAAAAGCTTGTAAAGTTCACCTTCTCATCAAACCTTGTTTCAGTAAGTGACACTAAAACCACAGTTAATAATGAAAAAAGTTGTTCAAAACAATTTTTCAAAACCTCAGGAAGAATGTAATATTACACGTTTAAACATACATTGAGTGTTTTCCAACTCGTTTAAAAACAATAACTTTATCGGTCGTAACAGGTATAACATCTTGCACGTTATTTACATACAAATGTGGTTGATGCCGTATAGGGTGGTCTATAGCAGGATGCCAATGGAAACCTAAAAAATGAGTTACAAATTGTAAAGCAAAAAAATAATAAAAGAAAAAATTTCATAAATGCATCAATGCTACCATTAGTTGCGGTAAAAAATATTCGGTCTTCAGCATTATGAAATGCATGCAAACGGCTTGAGTTAGTTAAAGCTGTAGTGTTCCATAAAATGCATCTTTGCCCGTTCAGTGTGCAGCGAACCATTTGTGGTTCAGGACCACCAACATCAATATAAAAGAACATGCTGAAATATAAAGGAAATGATAAGCAAAACCACTTACTGACAACAAAAACAACTGCAGAAACAAAACAATCAAATGATGACTTCTTTGCAGAAAGCAACAACTTTAAGAAGAATTTGAAACCTGTAGTTCATATCTTTTCAGCCAATTTCAAATAAAAAACAAATACTTTAAATTTGGAAAAAGCGCTATTCTTTGAGGAAAAGGATTGTGTCCGGAAAGCAGAAATGACTTCCTCCCACTCACCACGCAGCCAACGTAATTCAGTGAATCATCAGACTGAAATTTTGTCTTTACGAAAACAAGCAATTACTAATATGAAGAAGAATAGTTAACTGGAAAATTTTTTTTTCCAAAATTTTTCAATTTTCAAATTTCAAATTTCTAAGTACAGTTAAGTGCAACATCACTCTTCTTTTTAAGATGAAAAAACGACCCATTATCATCTCTGGCAACATAATTAAAAAGTGCTCTAAACAAAATGTTCACAACTGTTCGATTGAATCACTAAATTAGTAAGTAACTAGTAAAGTCCGTTAGAAAAAATGCAGACTACGGGCTTTTGCTCTCGCAAAATACTACCTTTGCAATGTTGCACTACTATTTTTATCACAGACTACAACAAAATTAGATATACATACTGCAGCGAAATACCTTAATTCGAAATACATGAATAGATGAAACACGTTCTACAATTGCGTCGGCGCATAACAAGTAGAGTTGTCTTCCATAATTATCAATAGCTACAGAAAACAAATGGTAGCAGCCCAAATCACGAGTAAAGTTTAAAATTTGAGCTTCATTTAAACCTTTACTAGAATCAGCCTAAAATGTAAGCAGACCATTATAAGCACAAACCTGGCTCAATTCCTCTGTAAAATAAATATGTACGAGGAAAGCAAAATATCACATTTCATAAAATAGTAAGGAAAAACATTGTTGAAAATACTTCATAAACTACAGAAGCACGTTTGATGACATCATCTTGCCAACTGTCGATCCAGTATACAAAGTGTTTCAAGGAAAACTTGTCAAAATCAATGGCTTTTGGGGCGCCCACATTCGATATACGTAGCACGCAGTAAGATTCCTACAAAACTAAACAGTATTTTCCCAAAACTTTTCTTAAAACACCACCAAGTCTCCTGACAATATTAATATGCCTAAACCTCTATCGACCCCAAACTTTTTTAAACTTGCATTTTCATTGCAAGTCAAACGAAAAAAAGCGGAGAAGGTGAACTGCGAAACCCAACACACAAAAGATACTAACATCTGTAAGCCTCGCATCGGTCTCAGTTCGCAAATCCAGTCGCAAAATACGATTTTCAGTCGCCAGAAAAATAAATTTTTTTGGAGCTAAAAAAAATTTCGTTCCCTTTGGAGGAGCAATATTGTTCTTACCATGAAAAGCTGGAGACTAGAAATAAAAGCCAAATAAAATTCCAGCTGTGTTACCTGAACAGAATAAAAAAAACCGCATAGGACTAACCTAAGCAAGTTCTGGTTTTCTCATCAAAAACTTCGTGGTCATCACAAAAACACTTTGCTTTTTTACCGTTTGGGATACATAGCTTTGGGCATTCTCCATTAGCATTCATACACTCATTCCAATCTACATTCACATCTCAATTAAACCCCATATAAGATATCTTAAATCACTCATGTTTAAAAACTGGATAATTTTACACTGCAGTGAGTCATCAATGAAAAAAAGGAAAAGTTATTCATTTTACTAAATTTTATCATAAAAAAGAAAGCGCAACTTTGTAATTTAAAAGTGACGTTCGAAAATGCATGAACGAACTTACCTGTAAGATTGCCCTGGTGTACTATGCCCAGCCAAAGAATTTTAGGTATATCTCTATGCAACACGCTAAACTTCCCACTGTCAAACACTTCAATTGCACTACTACCAGCGTTAGCAAAATAAACTCGACCCTCATAAACAGAAAGAGAAACGGGAGAGAATGTATTAATGTTTACCCACTTTTTTAAATCCCCTCCTAAAAGCATAAGTTTAATTTAATTCATGTTTTTCAATAAATTTTAAAAAAATCATTTTCTCATGGTTCGGTACAAGAAAAGAAATAAGTAGAAAATAAGAACGTTTTGGCCTTTTAAACAAGCCATTTTTTATATAATACTCTATTTGTTGGTCTCCAGTTTTAGAGCTTTCAGCAACCAAGTGTCAAAAACAAAAGCAAAATTTTAAAAATTATACCATCAAAATTCATCGAGAAAAGTTGGCCTACTCCCCCATTTCTGTCACACCAAACAAATCGATCATTAGAATAATCAATTGTAAATTCGCTGAGCACTCCTTGACTGCTGTATAAAGGAACTCCGGCATCACCATCATAGTTTCCATACAAAGGTAATTTCTAAAAATTTCTTTGACTAATCAGTTACCCTGAAAAACTAAGAAAAAAGTAGTAAATCTTTAGTTACTTACATGAATAGCACTCTGACCTCCATAACTATTGATAAAGGCCATAAACTGACGTCTAGAATGAACAACTAGATAACTAGGTAAAACCTTTTTCCAAACTAGAGCTCGTTTTGCAAATCCATCGCTGCGAGATACTTCGATACGATGACTTGCTACGTTACACCTTAAATACTACATATTCTTCTGCTCTTCAACTGTAGATTATTTAAAAAACCTAAGTAATGCCCGAAAGAGATATGAGAGTTTCTAGCAAATAAAACAACAGACCAGTAAATATTTCCGGTTGCTGAGTCGACTGCAATACTCTTGATAGATTCACTGGCTAAGACAAACTTCACATCTGTATCATTGCAAAAGGCACTGTACATCGATGAGAAGTTCAAGTGTTGATTACGTGCTGACCAAAAAAATCTGTTGCTTCCCTAAATCTCTAAATTTCTGAATCGAAAAACTAAAAAATGCACTTTGGAAATTTTAAAAAAATTAAAAAATGGCCAGCAAAATAATTATAGACTATTACTACAATATCTAGGCCAATAGAAATAAAAAAAA